TTTAATTTTTATATTAACTTTAGTTCTTATTTTTATAATTATTATTTATTTTTTTCTTATTATTTTTTTTATTAAAAATTTTTATCTATCAAATTTGGTCTTTATTCTTTTGATTGTGACTTATTTTATTTGAAATAATTTATGAAATGTTTATTAGTATTATTTTAATTTTTTTTCATCTTATATTTTTTTATTTTTTAGATTTAATCTCTATTATTTTGATTATTATTTATTTTTTGAGATAATTTATAAAATTATATATTTTTTTAATTTCATTTTCATTCAACTTTTTAATTTATAAGATTTGTTCCTCATTATTTTAATACACTTGAGAAAAATAAAACGTTAAAAAATTATTTTTCATCTTATTTTCCATGACATAACCAAATACTAAAAAATATTTTCCAATTTTTTTTCATTACACAATTAAATATCAAAAAATAATTCATTTTTCTAAAATTTATTTTTTAAAAAAATTAATTTTAAGTAAATGAATAAAACTTTAAATTTTATTATCATTATCTCTTCTGCAACGGGGCACAGGAGAAGGGCCTAGTGTTTTTCTAATAAAGTTTTTATTTTTGTTAAAACAGGGCCCCGAGGCCCAAAACAGGATACCTAGGCCCATGAGATCCATAATCAATTAACAAAAAAGCTCTGGAAAATCTCAGTACTTCGTATTCCAAGTCCACCTTCTCCAAGATGATATACCTCTGCAGCCAATTTACTTGACGATAAAAAAAAAAAAAAAAAAAAAAAAACAGGTGATTACCAAGAATCAACTAGGTATACAAAATCTGTATCAATCACATTCAACCTTTTTAACTGGTAACAAAAAATAAAGGTAAGGTTGCTATCGTTTAGCTGTATGGAACTCTTTTGCATTTCACAATATTTTCCTTCTATAAACCGTATCGCCTCATTTACTCCAATCCTTCGGTTGAGATGAAAAACTAACCAAAACTACTACTTCCTGCTACAAGCCACCCCATTTCATGAACTTCTTGACCTCATCATACAAAACCAAAATGGCAGCAGCACCAGTACTCCTAAACACATTTGAAACTGCCCCACGATAGAAAGAAGCCACCCCCTCTACCCTATAAATTTTCCTCCAGCAATCAAGTGTGCTATTATACATTGGTTGTTCCAGACCAGATTGCATCATCATTCGCCTTCGAACTGTATCCAGTGGATATGACATCAACCCAGCTGATGTCGTGACTATCTGAGCCACCACCCAACGCTTCCACAATGGCAATTCAGGTTTAGCTGCTTCTCCAGACAAACTCTCCTTCATTGTATCAAACCCACCAAAATATAGACTCCTGTGAACTACCATTCCTTGAAGAGAGGCAGGAAGCCCTCTGTACACTCCTCGAATCCCATCTTTATTGTATACAGTAGTCAGGAAATGAAAAATACCTCGAAATTGCCGAGCATCAGTTCTTCCAATGTCAGCAGCAAGGCGGGTGTGTGCTATATCAAGCGGGTAGATTAAAATCAGTGTTGTACAGCCAGCTGCAGCACCCGCAGTGAAGTTGGCAGGTGTGCTAGACAGAAAAGGACCATTTGGATGGTTTCTGTTATGCAAGATGTTTTTATAGAGATCCTGCAATAGAAATTAACAACCATGAGGTCATGGCAGCATAACACGAAATGGAGATGATCCTAATTCACTTGAAACTTTGATATCAATCATCAAAGTAAAAGATCACTTCCTTTTATGCAGCCAAATAAGTTAGAATCCCTATTATTATCTTCTATTGCATTATTAAATTTTCTCATGCCATGGATAATGACATTGTATGTCTCAAAGAGACCAGCTACCAAAATACTATTTCAAGGAAAAAGTCATTTTCCATATCTTAGAAGTTCTGGGAAGAACTCAGCCAGCTAAAATATACCAATCCTATTTATAACATCTTGCAATCAAGAAAAAATTAGTGAGTGGTATGCAGTTTAGCTATCTGCATGTCCTGAGAAGAACCTTCGGCAAACTTAGTGTTACCATGAGGTTGCAAGAGCATGATCAAACCTTTAAACGCTTACATTTGTGGAAAAGAAAAGGTCAAAAGCCAACCTAAAAACATTGGTAAGAGGTTTTATTCCGCCTCCAATGCATTCAATACACCTGTTAATATCTAAAGTTTGTTTGTGCTTAATTAAACTCTTTTTGCTCTCCTTTTGTGCAACATAGTAATTCTTGGATCTTTGTTTCAACCATCTTGCACAAATCAATGGACCTGTAATTAAATCCCATGCCACCTTATCTCTCTAAACTGTGTTTCTTTCATTCCTTGCAAAAGCTCACCCCAGGATCTTCTCACAAATTATAAATCCAAAGTTAATTCACCAAAATTTCAAAATCTATCCAACTATTTTAGATGACACAATGAATCTATGGAGTAAATGCATAGCCAGGAACTCTCTAGTTGGGGAAGCATTTTCCATATCTTAAAAGTTCTGAGAAGATCTCAGCCAGCGAAGATAGACCAGTCCTATTTGTCACATCTTGCAATCAACAAAAAAGTAGTGTGTGGTATGCAGTTAAGCTGTCTGAATGTCCTAAGAAAAAGCTTAGGCAAACTTAGCATTACCGTAAGATTGCAAGAACATGTCCAAGCCTTTACAAATTTACAATGGCGGAAAAGAAAAGGTCAAAAGCCAACCTAAAAATATCAGTAAGAGGTTTTATTCAGCCTTTAATGCATTCAACACACCTGTTAATATCTAAAGTTTATTTGTAATTAAACTCCCTTTGCTATCCTTTTTTGCAACATAGTAGTTCTTGGATCTTCATTTCACCGTCTTGCAAAAACCAGTGCACCTGTAATTAAAGCTCATGCCACCTTATCTCTCCAAACAGCGTTTCTTTGATTCCTTGCAAAAGCTCACTCCAGGATCTTCTCCCAATTTATACATCCCAAGTTAATTCACCAAAACCTCAAAATCTATCCAACTATTTTAGATGACATAATGAATCTATGAAGTCAATGTATAGCCAGGAAGTCTCTAGTTGGTGAACATTTTGATTTCCAATTCCCAATTGACAACTTATGCATGAATTTCATTCTCCTTTTATTTTTAAAATTAGCAGGATCCTTCTTCTAGAAAATTGCTTAAAATTTCTCCAAATTCAACTGTACCAAAATTCTGTTATCAAGATTTTCCCTAAACTCTAAAATCCTCATTCCACTACTGGCAGCAATCAGTTCCAAAGATCCTTTCCCATCAAATCCTATCAGCCCAAGTTCATAATCCTCCCATTTCTTTCTAACTTCAAGATTCTACGTTGTTAAAATTACAGCATGACAAACACCAACTAAAATAAAGAACCATCCTTTACAATCATAAAAGACAACATTCCTATCATCCCATGTTAAAATAATCCTATTTCTTTCTAACTTCAAGGTTTTACATTGTTAAAATTACAACATGACAAACACCAACTAAAATAAAGAACCGTCCCTTACAATCATAAAAGACAACATTCCACTTAACACGAAGTGAAATCAATCGTTGCAATATTCATATACTCATATATCAAACATTTCACACACACATCAAGAACCATCATCAAATACCAAAAACACCCAAAATACTATAAAAACAAACCACCCCATATTCCCACGGACACATTTCATCAAACACCTTACCCACAAACCAAAAAGAACCCAACTTTACTCACCTTAAGAGAGAAATTAAGAGCAACAGAAGGGTAATGTCTAATCACACTACTGCCATTGCCTCTCCAAAGCGAAAGAATCCCTTCTTCTTTAACTGTACGAACAATACAATCAACCATTCCTTTGAATTTCCTGCGTCCACTCCCTACAATTGCCAAATTGCTTTCTTGAGTTTGTAACAGCACCTTTGCCCTCTCAATTGGCGCCACTGTTGTATGCATTACCCCTCCCAGGAATGCACCTGCCAATAGATCTTTGTGAAAGTCTGTCAAGCATTTATAAGGCCCTGATGATATTGGTGGCTTTGACCGATCTCCGTTTTCTCCTGGATCATCATCGTCTCTACTCATTGTTAAAAACCAGAATCAGAATGAGTTTTTCTCTATAAAGATCGAATCTTTTTGGGTTTCAAGAGAACCCCTTTCGTTGTTTATCTTTAATTCTTTATAGTATCTCTAGAAAAGGAGAAATAGTGGGTTTTGCTCGTGTCTACTTTTTCTTCTTGGGTTGGTGCGCGAGATTCCAAAGGAAGAATCTTTTTCTTTCAATCTCCCTCTCTGTAGTTCGAGGGAAATAAAGGAAAGTCAGACCAGGCAATTCCTTCCCGATGAGTAGTTGATCAGGACTTGTTAGCTTATATAGTCTCCTTTTTACTTTGTATAGTCCTTATCCTTCTATCTAGGAAATCTCTTAGGTCGGTTTTTTTTTGGGTTTTGATAAGTCATTACATTTTTTCTAACAATTTATTTATCTAAATTATTTATAAAAACCCTCCAAGAAAATAAGTTTCATCACACAAAAATACACACCCAAAAAATTCATTATTCTAATAGTGATTTATACCTACAAAATCTTGTGCCCGTGTCATTTTAAGGTAATGAAAGATCTCCCGCTAGGCTCAATTATTGGGTGATTATATTCGTCATTATATATATATATATATGTCCTCTCCCCCTTTTGTTCTCATGAAAAGCAACAACTTTATAATTGATGCATCACTATCATGCTCACCTAAACATTTTCAAAAATTTTGTTTTCTCAAAATAACTTAATGTTATTTATTCTTAAACATTTTTAATATTGGAATGCCCTTGTGTTGACTTTGATTCCAATTCCTCCTCTTGCATGGTTTCCAAAAGTTACCGTACTCTTCATGTAATTTCTCTTCCAATAATATATTTTTTTCTAGAATAATTAAAATATAATAAGAAAAAAAGTAACAAAAACCATCTTGTAACATCATAATATTAACATCTAACACTGTCACAGTAAAAAGAAAAAATGAAGAAAAGAAAAGAAAAGGAAAGGAAATAAGGAAGGGTAATCATATGAAACTAAAAAGCTTCTGATTCCATGTCCAGTACGGCAAGCCAACAGTTGCATTTTACTTTTTGCAAGATCCTAAGATCCGGCAGCCATTTCTCTCATAAGTCACATGCATGCCCAACAGGTCTCTTAACTGAAATATTTACAGAGAAAGGCCAAATGTAAAACTTCCTAAAATCGCCACCCTCCCACATTGCTCCAAAGGGTTTTCTTTTTTCTTCCCTCTGTGTAAGATGTAAGAACAAGGGGTTCGCGTAACGAGCTCCACTGCAGTTGAAAGATTGCCAAATTCTGTATTACTGGTAAGCAACAAAGCATTCCAATGGAGATGACGCACCTCATTACAGCAAACATTCTATAAATTCATAACCTCGGCTTCATTGAACAAACCTAAATGAAATCCCACTTCATTGTCAAAGCATACAGTAATTAATAATCCAGTGTAACTTGATTTCATCTCGCTGAGGCCGAGCACAATCACAATTCTCAGGATATTTCCTCGACCAAGAATACAATTTATGTGAGAATCATAAAACGAAGGTTGAGTAGGAAGCATTTATTGAAAAAATAATCAAGGTCGCTTTATGAATTAGAAACTAAATTAAGGAAGCCATCACAATATCAGATAACTATCAGACATAAAGGAAAATAGACCATACAACCAGTCACAATGCAATTCAAGATTGAAATACCCATTTATAACATGATTTACAAGAATAAAATGTTCCAGAATTCTCATCAAAACATGTATGCATCACCATTCTAGGGAAGGAATAAAGAGAAACATAACAGCAGCATCTCATGCATTCAAAATATATTAATAAGTCTCAATTCTTGTAATTCAATAAAGTCATCAATCTCACAATTCACTATAACAATCCAATTCTACTGAAAGATTCTACTCACAGAACAGAGAACATGAACATGCGAGAGGTTTGCTGACTGCATGCTCTGAAGAATGCTTCTGCTCCATTTCTTGAAAAGGACTGCTCGATGATCTCTCTGTTGCAGTAGGGCTGCAAACAAGGGGTGGGCGGGTGGGGGGTGGGGAGGATCAGATAAAGTAGTGAAAATCTGTGCAACCAACAATCAGATGCATGGTTACAGTTATAGATTTATTTGACCTATGATCATGCTTCAATTGATGAAAAAATCAAAGTTACCAATCGCTGTCACATAATTCATGGTTGCAGTCAAATATTTGCTTATTACCTTTACTGCAATTCTATAGTGATTAGGGAACGTAAAGACAATATACACATGTTGCTAACATTATGTACATCAGTCTTATCATTAGAAGTCCAAGTTAACGCTGCAGCACCTGTTTATTCATCAAACGTTGGAGTTGTCCAAAACATGCATAGATATAATACTTTGAGGACGAAAAATAGAAGGATAATTAATTTTTTCTAGTTGACTAGGAAATCATATTCCAAGATATGTGACAAATCAAGGAGACGATTCAGGACCCTAAGAATATCTCATGCAAATTAACACCAGAGTTATTTTTCTTCTCTTACTAAATCTAAAGTTTTTTATATTTATGCTTCCAATTTGGCTTCCTCACTCCTTGCAATGATTACACAACAAACAAATCGATCAAATATAAGTACAAAATAGCTCCAAATCAAAAAATACATGCAACATTTCTTTTAAAGAAAGCACATTACATGCGCATTTTGGAGGCTTTTAAGAATATCCTTGAAGTTGGAATATGTTGTAACTGAGTTCATCTGGTCATGGACCTTAATATGTTGTTCTTTTTTTTGGCAGGTGCAAACTTCACAAAATACAAGGAATCTACTTGTGCCATCATTTTTTTTCCTATCTATTGTCACAGCTCTGCACTCTGCAACCAATTCTAGATTGTTCTGCAGCTCCATTGACACTAGTCCCAGAAAGCAAGCAAAATCAAAATCTTTAACCAGAAACCATTGCTGATATCAACTTTTACCCTTTGGCATACTTATCAACATAACCCTGCAGAACAAAATGTGAAAATGGTATTGCCAAGGAAAAAAAAAAGAGCATAATTAACGACCATATAGAATCTAATCATGCATAAAACATCCTTTTGAAGTCGCAACTCCCACAAATTTCCCTGTTTGGTGTCCCAGAACTTGTCCATTTGCAAAAAAGAAGTTTCAATCATATTTTGAAATACTATTCATGATGGTCTCAATCACTAGGAATGATATTTTGTGTCTGCACTTTATGTGATTTTTCAATAGTATGGGACAATTTTTGTGGAAGGTTGTTGGTGTAACCCTACCTTCCCTTGATAAATTAAATACAACTGTACAATTCATTGCAGAGAGTTAAAAAAACTACACGACAACAAATCCTAACTCCTAGGTCCCTCTGAAAACATTACTAGATAGAAATGGCTAATGGTTAAGAATTCATGTTCTGCACTTTCCCTTTCAGTGGAAAGTTGTCAAGCTGCATCAGGCACGCATCTATGCCTGTTTCCCACCCATGACTTCTAAGTTCTATAATGACAATAACCACTATCATGATCGTACTTTTTTTGGTAGTAAGAAATTGATGTTTCAATCAGTAGAATCATAAGCAGAGCCATGAGGTTATGGGAAACCTATCATTGAATGTGTATCATGTGAGATTCATAGTGCTAGATAACATGCATCAAATGTGATATTTCTTAAAGAAACCCTTTCTAATCATCTGCCGCTTCAGTTTTCATACACATAAGGCCATAAATATAAATATCAACTGTCTTTGCCACTTGAATAGAAACCATTATTAAATGAGCTTGTTTGTGTGTGTATTTGTGTCATGAGAAAACTCTTTCACATATCAGTTTCAAGGTAAAAGAAAGAAGGATTTACCATCACAAGTTTTGTTAATTTATGTTGCGATGAGTCAATGTAATGATCTATTTTTGCCTTGGACTTGGGTATTTGATGGCTCTTCATTGCTCCTGCAACCTTATCAACCGTCTTCTTGACAATAGTCTTAAATGCTTCCTTACTCATGTTACCCTGTCGCCATGATGGCTTTAAAACGTCCTTGACAAAATCTGCAAGGGTAACCTTAAAGAGCTTCATTGATCTGGACTCCTTGCTCTTTTTGCTCTTCTTTGGAGACTTAATCTGATCAATCTCCATATCACCCATATTCACATTCACTACAACAGGAGTACTCTGGCTCTGATTCTCAATATCACCCACTTCTGCATCTGCAATCTCACCAAACTCCTCATTATCAAGAGATGTGGAAACCACAATGCCTCTAACTTCTTTCTTGTTTTCTTCCACATCCAAAGATTTGTTTGAGGCACTAAACCTTGGCATAACATCAGTGTCAATGGATTCCCACTTCTGAATGTGATCAAGTCTCTTAAATGAGTTTGAAGTTGGCTCGATGCTGTCTAAAAACGGATCATATTGATCACCTCCTGAGCTAGGAATAATTTGTGCAACACCCCTGGCAGAACTGGGCGAAGGTATTGGATGTCTTGTTCCAACACTGACACCTTGTCCATCAAGTGAAGCATGGTTCAAACATGAAGAATGATCATCCTTACAAGAACAGGATGGAACCTTTTCTTGCCTTACAACATCAGAACTGAATCCGGAGTTGAGCGGCTGCTCAAAACTAGTTGGATAAGAATTCAGGTGAGCTGAATTTTTTGCTCCAAAATCTGGCGGGTGAGATGGCTGATTTGAGTCCAGAATATCTGGTGGGAGTCTAGATGAAGAACCCACCTTTCCAGATAGACCATACACGTTATCAATAGCAGAGCAATCCAAACCATAGGGTGGTTGTTGCTGCTGCAGATCTTCAGAGCCAACAGTAACCAAGTCTGAGGCAGTTTGAGGAATGTCATCTTTCAAACAGGGCTCCTCAGTATTTTCTGAGCAATCCTCAGAAGCATAATCTTGAACAAGTTTGAATGGGCTGCTTCCTTTAAAAACTTCACCAGAATATTTATCAGAATAGATGCATCCAGCAGCTGACATGATCCTTGATGAACTTTTTTCATCAGCTCCTGCAGAATTAATGACTGGGCTATGAACTTCAGAAACTGACTCCCCAGATGTCAATTGGTTATAACAATTGATGAGTTTTGAGCCTGTAATTGGAAACAAGATTAACTCTAAACTTAAGGCACGGAACAGGTGTACAAGTTATTCCTGTACAACTAACATGAGCAATCTACATGAGAACCACACAACGATAAACGTTCTAAAGTTTCAGGCCAGCAAATAACTCAATATAACCACCGGCATGTGCTATTAAAGCTTTGCAATATATAATCCATAATATATATAAAAGCATGAACTACTTAAAAACTTTTGATTTATTATTATACCCTTAATACATTGCTAATATTACAGTATACTACCAATACTAATAAGTAAATCCAATCCCATTTCTAATTCAGAAAAAGACCAATATTGGTAAAATTAAAAAAGGAAATTATTAATTCCTAAAAATAAGCTTTTTTGTAATGAAACCTAAAATATAGGTTAATTTCCTCTCTTTTTTTCATACTTTTCATTTATACACTGGATAAAACCCTAAATAACATAAAATAAGCTACTGATATCACTTCTAAACTATATAATGATGTATTGATACTTTATTTTGACAATCAATTAGGTGTTTCGTAAAATCCCATTGGACAAAATATATCCCCTTGCCTTCGTTTGTATTGTTCTAATGATGATATTGATGTTCATTGATCCAAACCAGTTATCTAAGGAGAAAAATTAGGAAGAGACTGTCCAAGGAGGGAAAACTAGTGTGTGGGTGAAACATTTACCTTGTTCACCATTATTCAGCCTTGAGGAGCCAGAGAGAGATAAAACCATTGCCGAAGCGTCAGATTGTGCTGAACTCTGCAGTTCATGCAACTGCTCTCTTACATCAAATGCTCCAGCTATCAAATGATTACCATGAGTTTGACCTCCAACAGGGTAATTTACTGCCTGGTCATTGTCAGACTGTGTAATGTCATCTGAAAACAACTCGCCAATGAGTGAGAAACAAATGATGAGGTGAATGAATAACTAATACCCGCAATGCAAAAACAAAATATGATTCATCCATAAAAGTACATACAAATAAAATAAACAATTACAAAAACTCCTCCAAATTGGATCATCTGTTCAGGTCATTCAACATGAAATCTTTTCATCTACAAACTAACAAGCATTTCAATGAAACATCATCCACAGCACCAATCTATTACTTCTAGACAAAATAGCATGGGGAGTAGCTGCTTGGTGTCACATTGACATACGACAACCAAACAGCAAACCATATCCACTAGATAAATTACCTTAAGTTTAAGATTGAATTTAAATAAATAAATCAATAAAATAAAACCAAGGAAAGATTTCTTTAAAAAAAATTGGAGAGAAACAACAAATTTACAAGAATCATAGATATTTTGCATCTTGGTCATACATCAGTATCATGATGTAAATGAGAAACAGTCAGGCATCTCGTTTTCTCTTTAACATTGAAAAATTAACATAAACAACAGATCATAGGTTTTATGAGATTTAAATGCTTCAAAGAGAGGGATAGAGACATATGAGAAACATAATTAACTTAGCAAACATCAGAAAACAAACACCTTATGAAGTAGACTGAGAAAATACCAATAAGGTACTAACCTTCCATCTCCATATCAGAGTCAGAAGACATGTGGGATCCAACTGCATCCATCAAATGACTGGGTTCAGAAAAAGTCTTTCCTTCCAATTTAAAACACACCCCAGCACCACTTCCACCTTCCAGATATAAGTTGTCATCATGCATGAGAACATTATGTCCACCTTGATTGAGAGGAATGACTTCATTGGCGGAACTAGTAGGGCCCAATTTATCACAAGAAGGTTTGGAGGAATTGGAAGCAAAATCAGAGTAAAATTGTGGAATGGAACCATCTAGCATGGGTGCAGATAATGGCATCATGTGGGAGTTATGCAGAGGTGGAATGGATGGTGCAGAAGAGGTTAGTGGTAGGGGCGGCGGTGGTGGGGGTGGGGGAGGATCTGTGGAAAGCGTTTGAGGATTTCCAACGTGAGGCTCAGCAGAACTCCCAGAGAGAGCAGGAGTCAGGAAACTGGAAGTTGGAGGAAAAGGTGGGGGAGGTGAAGGGGGAACATGACCCTGCACACCAGCTAGCTGTTTTGGCAACGAATGAACTGGAGATTTATAAAACCCCTGACCTTGTGAAGGTGGTGGAGGAGGCAAACCTCTATAAGGCGGCGAGATTTCAAGATGGTGTGAACCAAAGGGAGGGGGAGGAGAAGGCACCGATGCTAAACAGGAAGAATGCTGTGAATTTTGCTGCGCAGGTGCATAAACATGTGACATGGGAGCACTTCCATGAACGGTTGCAGAAGAGTGCAAATAAGGCTGACCCGGGTTAGGCGTCCTGCCAGGTGCAAGTTGCTGAACTGCGAGATGTTGGGGCATAGAAACATGCTGATATCCAGGCAAACTTGGCTGACTAGTGTGAGGAGGTCGTGGAGGTAGAGGGCCTTGTTGGAAACTGTGGGAGAGCGGAGGTGGACGGTGTAAGTATGGAGGGGCAATTGGTGTTTGAGGACCTTGGCTGCCAGACTGGGGATTAGAACTGCCTTGACCATACATATTGGAGAATTTCAACAACTTTTCCTAAGCCTCCCTCAATTTTCTACAGAACTGCCTGTGGAAATGAAATAATTACATAAGTGCTTAACAAATTCATCTTGAAAACACAGAAAAATGGGTTTTTTAATCAAATTATTGATGTGAATTAATTATGAATGTGGAATTGAATGCACCAACCAATTACATCTCAACATGCAAAAAAAAAATAAAAAACACAGCAAGATCATCTTCAACAAAATTGGAAAGTATGAAAGCAATGTTCAATAAAGCAGGAAAATTAAATACGAATGTTAGTTACAAAGAAGAAGGAAGTGTTAGAGAGAACATAAACATAAACAGCAGATGCAAACCCTAGTTAATGTTGAGAGAATTCAAATGTTTATTGCAGCTTTGATTGTATTGGAGAGCGATTTTGGGGTGGGGGGGGGCATGATTCCTTGAATTCTGTGGTAGACTTGGTTGGGTTTAACTCAGCGTGAGAATAAAGAAAACTGTGAGTTAAAAAAAAGAAGAAAGAAAATGATTTTTACCATGTGCATTATCCACATTATTGAAATTTAGTTTTATTTAAATAAAACAATGATATTAAATAAATAAATAAATTATTACATTTATTTAAACAATAATTGTATATAAAAAAAGAACATGATTTTATGAACAACATGGAAAAGTATAAAGTGAAAGCTTCCTGCGATTTGAAAAATGAATCCTTTAAAAACAATAACTCTATTGTCTTTCTTAATTGAAGATTTGTTTAATATTACTATTGCCTGTTGAACCTACCCCTTTCATTACATTTCGCTAATAAGCACATGAAAATCAGTTGGGACCTCAAACCCCCCCCCCCCCCAAAAAAAAAAAAAAGAAAAAAAAAAGAGTAAAAAAAGTGCTTCCCCACTGAAACATCTGAGATTTTCTTTTAAATTCAATAACCCTCCCCGTTATCTTCAGAAATTCCATAGAATCTAGATCTTTAATAATTAAATTTTGAGATGGGGCTTGTTAATGAAATCAAAAGGCATGAACTAAAAGTTTTCCTCTCACCACTTAAAGCCACCATTTCTATTTTTATTACGAGACACTGTGTGTGTGCTCTTCTATAAAACTCAACTCCTTTATTGTTCAGCATATCCTTATTCATCATAATTCAGTGGCTAAAGACCTATTCATGATAATGCAACGAAATTAGGCTTAACTGTCAACTAAACAAAACCATTCACTATCAGACATAACCTTCTTGTTTTTCTTTTCCTAGGAAGCTCAAGAATCTATCTATCTCTTGGAGTGTAAACTTGAGTTAAAACGATTATCTTTCATCCATAAATACCTTACACTCAAAGTTTAGCGAGTCCTATAACTAATGCTATATGCAGCAGTCCAAACAGCCTGCAAACACCTCATAAAGATTCACTGCCTCCACCTCTACATGTATATATATAAAACAAGAGACTGGATTCGATAACATTTCCAGCCATGTAAACTTTGCAGTTTTTGAATAACATATCAGTACAATTCTTCCATTACCGAACTCCTAAATTGTTAATACCAACTTGACATGTTTGCTGATATTCCATTCATCACAAGCTTTGAGCCATGAATCTTCATCTAAAACTCCAAAAAGTTAAAAAAGTGTTTCCTGCTCCTCAATATGTGCAAATCTTGAGTACAATACATGTCTCCCAAAATGACACAAGGACTTTACTGACCTTATTAAGAGAATTACTTCCACATATCATCCATTCCTGGACATCAGTTTCTTCTTGATTGCAGACACATATCCATAGCAATCGTAATTGATGATCGAAATATATTTATAAACATTATGGCAATCATTAAACTTATTCCCACGCTAAGGGCCAAAGTGTCACTTTACAAATTACAACTACCAAGATTATAATTTCATAAACTTTAAGAACCAAAGTTCATCACCTTCTCCAAACTTTCTGCAGTTTCCTTTCGAAGAACAAACAAACCAACTATTCTCCGAATCTTTTTTCATTTCTTAACCAAGTTTAACAAACAAAACAAACCCTTTTGATCCATGACTAATCAATAGCATAACACGTTTAAGGGTTTTCAAAATCTAAAATTTCTAACTTCAAGAATGTCATTAAAAAAACAATAAACAGTAAACTGCATCCATACCTCCCTCGGATTTATTTGCTGTCTTTTGCTTCTTTTATCTTCCTCCCTTCTTCATTCTCACTTAATTTCTCCTTTTCCTCTTTCTTTTTCTCCTATCTTTGCTCATTTAAGAATCTAACCCAGCTCCCTTTTCATCTCTCTTTCTACCTGTCTCTTTTCTTTTTACTCCCTTCTTCTGGACGTCTTGTGCCTTGCTCTTTCCATTTTTTTGTTCCTTTTAAAGCTTTCAGAGAAATACGAGATAATGGCTCGCGCTAAATCGCGGTCGGGAAAAACAATTTTCATGGAAAATACTGTATTTTAAGGAATAAAAAAAATCAATACATAAAAGAAAACGTGATCACATTGTTCAGCGCATAAAAATAAAAAATGTATGTTAAAAAACTCAATTTTAAGATAATTTAATATTAAAAAATAAAAATAAAAATAAAAGTTATACAATCTCAAGGCAAACTTGTAATTCAAATGATAAAATTATAATAACATCATAAAAAATAAATATATAAAATTTTTAACAATTTAAAAGTGGAAAAATAAAAAAAAAATCAATCAACAAAAAAAACTCAGAAAAAATAAAATACTAATAAAATAGATCAAACCTTGTGAGCTAGGTGTGCAAATAAGATAAACCAAACCTCGTGAACTAGGTATGTAAACAAAATAACTTAATAAAAAACAAAAAGAAAATTATAAGATATAATTCTCAAACAAACTATACGTTGAAGAGAGAAATTAAAAAAAATTATTGAACTCCATATAAGGTAACTCATCAAATTCATAATTTGGGTAATGAAATACATAAAATAACGAAATCTAATTTTCAATGAACCTAATATTTAAAAATGAAATTTTAAAAGAAATCAATGTAAAAAAAAATCTAAAAAAAATATATATTAACCTATGTTAACCTCATAGAAAGGAAAACAAATAAAATGACAAAAATTTCAACAAACCTAATATTGAAGGATATAATTTAAAAATAAAATCAATCTAAAAAAAAATCTAAAAAAATTGTTGTTAATATATGTTGACTTTTCAAACTTGTGAGTCAGGTTAAAGACTATAATCACCCATTTAAAAAAAATTCATTAAGTTTAATTCTTAATTAAGTTAATATCAAATAATAAATTTTTTTAAAAAATAAATTTTCAAAAAGAACCCAAAGCAAAAAAATAACAATAAAATAATAAGGATAGAATTTGATATAAAACCAAAATGTCGCTTATTTATCAACACGTGTCACCTATCTTGAATAACATGAAAGCATTGCTTCCAACGCTATCAAATGTGTGTTTGTGTTAGTGGTGAAACTTGTGGTTTGGATGTGGGACCCATTAAAAAGCTAAGAAAAGCAGAAAATATTAGCTTTTGTGGTTGAGTTTTGTGCATCAATGGGTTGTACCCAACCACAACCTCAACCACAAAAGTTAAATCAAACACTCCCCAATAAAATCAGTACTTGACTTTCGAAGAAAGCCATACACATTGCTAGAATATGACGAGCTTCCTCCACACGAGAAATGCATATGTCAATCAAATTGCCCTTCTTGTCTACCCTACCCCCACCATATTTATTTTAGATTTAATTTTGCTCTCTTAAACTTTAATTGTTTTCCGTAACATTATTTTATTTTATTCTTTTAAATTGAGGATCAACCAAGTACCAAGATATTTCCTTGACATTGCAGGAACCCCAAATTTAAACAACTAAAATAAATTATCAAGTTAAATCTTAAATAAATGTTAAGTGAAATGATCAAATTAAAAAAATTAAAAAAGAGCTAAGTAACAAAAAGAAAAAGACATGAACTCTTCCCCTTACCGTGGAAACCAATTCCTAAATTTATATAAAAAAATGTACTAATCACTTGTTAAAGCTTCAAATTTAATTCCTATAAAGCTCTAGTTCGTTTAGATCAATAAAATTTAATTTTGTTTTGTTAAGCTAAACACCAACCAAGTGATGAAACACTTCACGACAATGTTAGATCCTCAAATGGAGGCATAAAAACCAAATCATCATGGCTAATATCAAATCAATGCAGCGTTAAGGGATCACATAAAGAGAAAAATAAATTGAAAAACCAAAATGACAAAAATCCTAGGGATAAAAAAAAAAAAGATGGCACAGTGAATCACTGGAGCCCTCTTATTTTTTATTATTTTTTATAATCATCTCTCTTTTTTATAATAGATATTTTTCAATTTTCTATATTTATTTTTGTACCCTAATCCTAAATCTTGTTTGATTTGTTACCAACCCTCTCTAGTTTCCCAAGAATTATGCCTTCAGAAAGTAATGATTTATATTATCGTTCATTAACTTGAATTATTATGTAATTATGTCAGAATCACTAATATTATAATATAATCACAAGTTATAAAGTATATTGTTATCTTTTAGAAAAATCATGTATCTTTCATTTAATAAATAACTTGGTAAATAAGCAGAGTGATTATAAAATGCGAGAAAGTATGAATGGGAGGACCCTGCCATATATTCTCAATACATTTGTGCGATTGGCAGCAAAGAGGGATCGTGCGGTGGACCAATAAAGCCACTCACTTTGCTTGTAGATTTGATAGGAAACTTGTGCAATCCAGATAGTCGATTAAACAAAGCATGAGAGACAAAGCCAAAAGGTCGAGGAAGCTGTATTCTCACGCTTACAGATTAGCTGGCTTTCCTATTCATTTGCTGACAGAAATTAAACAGAAAGGCACTGCTCTGGTTGTTCATGAGGAAGGCCTATTTTTATAACATTGAATCGTCTCTCCCAGCTGCCAAGATTCCACTAGTGTTTTGGATATCAATCAAAACTAAAAACATGCAAGCCTAGCCCCATAAACTAAGTTATTCACAGCTCAAGCTTAGCAGAGGGAAGACCCCACATTGTCTTCTCATCTATTTTTCTTCCTGTCAACTGGGAGATAAAAGGAGATGAAGAGTGTGAGACTTCAAACTCTTAACCAATACTAAGGCATGAACAGTGTCAGGAAATATGGTAAATTTATCACTACTAACAATCAATCTGTAATGCAACCGAAGACGGAATAAATTTGGAAAGGAATGCCTATTGATCAACCAGAGATTGAATCAGAAATTAGTAGATTTATCCAGTAGTCAGAAGCGTCCTCGCTTAATTCTAGCCCAAGCTAAAGCTGCAACTGCAGCACCTCCCAAGTGAGCTGATCCTGAGATGTTACTGTTTCCCTGCAAAAACATAAGTGAAACCCAGCATTTTAGCTTGCTTTGGTTTGAAATCTTTCAAACAAATAAAAAAAAGATATTTGTACAAGGAAGCGGAAAAATCATAGGATTAATATCCATGTACCTCCATTACCCTCAACACATCTTTCCCAATTAAAAAGATACCCTAGAATGACAGTTGTCAAAAATAATATGGTAAGCATCTGAAAATTAGCTCGAATAAACTTATTTCTTGGGTTGAAAAAAATAAAGATTGTTCATTGAAAGGAGCCTACCAGTAAGATTGCTGGAACTGGTATGATAAAATCGAAGTATAGAGTAGCTCTAGGATTCAAGAATATATCGAGCAACATGATAGCATTGACGGCCCCACTAGCCCCCTAAATGACACAAGTATACTCGTTAGTCAACCTTTGATGATGAAAAACTGATCCAGGTTTTGTTACTCTCCTCCTATCTCTGGAACAAACACAGAAAAGTGGCCAGAAATGAGAGTAGAAGCTGTTCATTATTCTGAGTCAAGAAACTAATTTAAAAAATATACAACAGGAAGTGAAACAATTTTGCCACCAAAAAATGCCACACTGAATTTATTGTTGGCATTTGTCAAATTTCATGATGAACTTTCCTTCATTTCAATCATTTAGCTTATTGTTGGCATTTGTCAAATTTCATGATAAACTTTCCTTCATTTCAATCATTTAGCTGTCGACTAGCTGTTTATTAATTAGTTCACAGGGTCAAAAGTATCAGAGGAACAATCTTAATGAACAGTAATGTCATGCTAATGATGAAAGTAGTCAAGGGACAAGGATTCAAGCGTCGTTTGACTTGAATAATTGAAGAAAAATGTAAATAGAAAGAAGAGAAATCTGATAAAAAGAGTTGCAAAAGCATACCAATCCTGGAGTCCTTGAAGAATCCCTCGCCCACATTCCCTGTCCCTGCAGATAGCAAAAATAGGGAACAGAATCAAGGATTTCTGGTTAGCCAAAATCATTAAATCATTCCATCCTAAAAATAGAATTCCAACAATAACAATCAAATAGTGCACAAATTACATGTGTTTTTATTTAACACATGGAACGGAATTTTCAAGTCATCGTCCGCACAACCATATATTATTCTGTTAGTTAACTTCATAAAAAATCAGGTCAAATAGTTTAACCTGTAGTAAAAAATCATGCCAAAATCTACATTCCTGTGAAGCACATTTTCATAAATAAAAAACCATCAAAGTAATCATTCCCATAACTTGCTTCATAACAGATCATAATGGAAATGTAGCTAGGACTATTGTACCTTCGATGATAAATCCATGTAGCCATGGTGCAGCAAGTAGAACACTGAGCCACCAATTGCTCCAGCTAGATACAACTTCAACAAGAATTCAGGTCCAAAAGTCCTTGCAATCTGGGCAGTAAGAAATAAAAGAACAAAACACAGCACAGCACAGCCAAATACATTTTTTAGGACTGATAAAGAATACATTGTCCAACAGAAAATGCGCAAAAACGAGATAGACACATGCTGCATGTGCAAAATATTTTGGAAATTTTACTGTTGCAAGTTATAAGATAATATCATCACGATTACTGGAGAAGAATCTAGAATGCAATAATTTGCTAGAATATTTTTAAATATCCCATCCTAAATTGGTTTTGGGTTGATTGAGTCTCAATATGAAAAAAACTATTTCTTCTCCTTTTGAAAATTTTATTTGCTCAATTTCAATTATGGACTTTCAGCAATATATTTAAATAATTAGCATGAATGAAAACATTTTATCATATTCAAGAAGCATTGGATTTCACTAGCTGGTACAAAGTTTATAATAATTAAAGGTAATAGTTTATACAAAGTATCTGCTACAATGAACCATCCATCATAAATATAATTGGTGAAAAATTAACAGCCTATATCAGGAAAAAAAAAATCTGCAGGACCAATGATAAAACACAAGAATGTTGGAATCTAGAACCTATCAGTGACTTATCATTCTAGATAACATATTTAAGTGTAACTTTGAATGAAAGTCATAATGGAGGAATATAATGATACTTTGTATGGTTTGCATTC